AGAGAAAACGAAATCGTTGACTTTTTGGTACAAGTTATAAGTTTTTTGTTTTTTTAAATAAATTTGTGACTTTTGGGCTAAAACTGTTACATACCAAACGTGGCCTAAGAACAAAAAAATAAAATAAAATCTGATGCGCAATTCTTGTAAAATGTTGTTTGCCTTTTGTGTCAAATTATGTGGGTTAATTTTTGTGTTTATGGATTTATTACAAAAAATAAAAAAATAAATATAAATAAAAATAGTAATGTTTTACAAACAGAATCTTTATACAAAAATAACATACAATATAATGTGGGCCTGTGTAATCCTTTCATTTCAAACTAACCTATCATTGTGGCCATAATTGTAGAAAAATAAATTAAAATAAAAAATTCATGTTTGTAAATCATTTTTCAAAAACGGGTAATGCTATGCAAATATGATTTTTCTTCAAAATTTTCATAAAAATGTATGTATACGTCCTTCTATAAATCATTTCATTTCCAGTCAAAACATATCTTATTCTAGTTAAAAATTATTATTAAAAAAAAAATTGATACCCTCACATCAGTTTGTTTGGTCTGTTTGTAAAATAATTTTCTTTTCTAAGGTTCATGCATAAATTATTTTTTTTATAGAGATTTTGTCCCATAATCCAGAATGGCCAACTAGTTAAGAACTATAATTTTTTTATTACTATTTTTTTTAACGTTATATTTGGATTATAAATTTAAATAAGTATTTGAAAAAGGAGATGATGAAAAAAATTAGTTTATATTTCATTCATATTATCCCCACTTTTTTTTTTTTTTAAATTGCTATTCTAATTTATAATTCAAACACAATATAATATAATATAATATTAGGATGAATCCACATTTGTAATTTTGCACTAGTTAATGGCTATGTCTGGCTTAATTGGCACAGAGTGGATGTAGTTTCATGTGCAACTAATCATTTAAAAGTGCATTAAAGTTGATGTATTTAAAAAACTTATGTTGCTTTACAGTAGTGTTATAAGCTGGAAAACGAAAAAAAGCCAGAGGTTGGATCAGGTTGATCAGAATGGTCGACCTGAAAACTTCCACAATAGCATTGATGACATAGAATGAATATATGGGCTTTTTTTACTGTGGCTTATTGGAATAGTCGCCAACCGAAAAGGGCAAAAGATAGATCCTGATGACGGTTTGGGAGGTTTCTATGATTAGCACAGCAGCACCAACATGACTCACGTTTCCGCCAACTGTTTTTATGTGGCGCCTAAAACTAGAATTATAACTGTTAAGTCTAAAACACACATAGGATCCGATTCGGATACAAAATGTATATGTATGAATAATTTTTTTTAGACGGGCAATCTAATAATAAATTTTATAAAATCTTATTTATTTATATATATTTTATGTATTTGATTTTATTCTTACAGTGATTATTCGTTACAATGCCCGGCATTCTTTGTTTCAAAAATAATACATTGTTCAGTCTTAATTCACTAATAACTGTTAGATCTTTAACTTTTTGAGAAATGATTGTGAGTAAATTGAAACAGATGAATAAATAAATATAGATCACATATTAATTTGTATTTTATCTTTTAATATTTTATTGCTTTAGTTTCACCCAAGAGAGGGGGAAGGTGAGGGAGGAGAGCATCTTTGATGGTGTAGACAGTGTGAAGAAAGCAACAACTTTAAATGGGATTGCTTGGTGGTTACACATTCATCAGATTTATGAAGACGATCCAATCCATCATACAATTCATCAATCAATCCTGACATAAAACATTAAGGTACGTAGCAAAACAGCAGGGCCGTTGTCTTTATTAGCTTTAGTGCCTGCATTTACTGATTGGTTGTTGCAGAACCCCGTTACGTTTGCCATTCACACAATTTCTCCTTTTAAAATAAAATAAATAAAATTATTAACTTTGGAAAGTGAAAGGAGAATTTCATGCTTTAAGTGGGTTGGAAGATGCGTAATGCTGAGGCATGAGGTACATCGAGCGCCCCCACATGATTCCTTCGCCTGAGATCCCTTTCCACAAAGAAAAATATCTTGTAATTTAGATTTATTTTTAAAATAATAATATACAAATAATAAATTTATACATAATTTTTATATGTAATGATATGATTTATTGTGGACTTTTTGTTTCAAAATAAAGAGTAATTTTATACAAACAGAATTTTGCATAATTCATACAGAATGATGTGTCTCATTTATAGTCATTCATTAAAAGTTAAAATGTCTATCACTTTGGTTTCTAATTGTAAGAATACAATTGCACATTATTTTTGTATGAAAATTTTGCCATCATAAAAAACGAATTTATTTATAATAATAACAATATCACATTATTTTTGTCAAGTTTTATTGTATGGATTTATTAAATGTTCTATTTTTCCCTCTTCTTGAAGCTACTCTAACAAGTTGATTAATATATGCGCTATATGTGAGACAAAAAATTACATGTATCAAAATGATTAGCCAAGTCGAAGCTCAGGGTCTCATGATAAAAAATTAAAAAAATTCTACTTGCAGAAAAATATGTAGCGAAATGACTTTTATTTTTATTTTTAAACTTGACTTTTAATGTGAATTCGTTGTTTTTTCCAAGGAATAGTTTAAGCATGACAATCAATCGCTGTTGAAACTAACACAAAATTAGCAAGCCAATGAGAAGTGTGTCAACACAATTAGATAGAAGATGTGTACTTTATTTTATGCGTAAAGCCATGGAGACCGTAATCCAAGGGTCAATTTCCATGTGAATCCCAAAGAGTTGTTCCTTTGTTCACACTGATGATAAGTGTGAGAACTGAAATCAAAGGAGTGGTGTCACGTTATTTATGTGTCAAAATATTATACCTTCATTCAAATTTTTTTCTCCTAACTATACCTTTTTCTTTTGCGTAAATACACTGCCTTTCCTTAAGTTTGGTATAAATATAGTAACAAGTTTTTCAATTTGATTATAATTAGATCTATTTTCTTTTAAGGGGTTATGTGGGATGACCTAAATAAGTACACTTTTTGTCTTTTTATGAAAAGATGTACAGAAAAGTAGAGAGGTGATGTGATGGAAAAAAAATAAAAAGATAGATTATTTGGGACTTCCCAAACTTGACCTTAATAAGACTAAAGGTATTAAAACAAATACAAATAGTTTGGAAACACAAAAATTTAAGAACTTATTATTTTAGTTGATTTTTTGATTTTTTTTTTTATTATAAAAACACTTGCAGAAAAATATAAATAATAATTGACTTTTTTGTAGTGATTTTTGAATTTTTTAATTAGCCTATTGCCAAAACTGTCCAAAATATACATTTCACTATAAAACATATGATAAAATTATTTTTCTATTTATATAACTAATGAATTATTATATATACATATATATATATATATATATATATATTTTAATTAATTTATTAATTTTCTTTTTTAGAGAGAATTATCCTCTAAGATTATATTTGGTTCATGGATTTGGAGTTTACATTTCACCTATCTTTTTTATTTTTCTTTCTAAATTAATAAATCAAACACAACTTAAGATCTATAAGTTGGATAAGACTATTTGTTCGTGGGAGCCAAAAAATTATTAGGTGATTTTGGATCACCACCTTCGATCACCAAATGTCATGCATAATTTATCAAAAATATTAATGGGGTCTTACTATCAAGTACTTATATAGGGCACAAGTAAAAAATAAAAAGATTGAAGAATATAAAATATTTTTTATTAAATTTGATACACATTTACTGAAATCAATATGCTTTTTATTAATTTTACATATTTCAAAAATATTTTATACACATTTTTTAATATTAAACAATGCATAGAAAAAATTTGTTAACATTTGTCATATTAATAATCTTGAATAATAATCCCCGAAAATAAAGAAATGTTTATTTTTATGGATTAGGGAACTGGAAGACCGTACCCAATTTGCCTTGAATATAAAGGAAAGCGCGCCGCAATATTAACTTCCACGCAAGAATGCGAATGGAATAGCATATGCTTTTTTGTGCAAGCTTTTTTCATTTATTTTGATTACGTCCCTGTTGATACCCCGCAATCTGAGGCACGTGTTCTCATGTGAACCATTCCATTCAAGCTTAAGCATTCGCCGCCCACACTCCCCATGCCTGTCTGTCATACCCACCAACCTTTTGTCATCCCCTAATTAAAGCTACAAGAATATTCATATACCAAATTTTATTTCAAAATTGTAAATTACAAATTTACTATCAAAAATATTATTTTAATTTTATTTTATTACAAAAAAATTATTAGCAATTCTCTCAAGCTAAGAAAAATTAAAATAATGGGGTTAAATTTATTAAAAAAAATGATAAAATATTTAATAAATAATGAACAGTGTCTTAACAACTAAAATGGTAGTTTGTCGCAAAATTAATTTCTTAAGTTTGATGGAACAATGTTTTTATTGTTTACTTGTTATGTTTATTAAAAAAAAATATTAATTTGTTGAGTTTGATTCGAATGAGCTAATTGAAATATTATGTGATGAAAATTGAGTTAGTAAAATATAAAAAATATTTACTAAATTTAATTTGTAATATTTTATGGACCATTAACATTATGCTATTTTTACAATGAGAAAACAAATAGGTAAATAAATTTTAACAAAATTTGTTAGTGAAACCCACTCCACATAAATCCTTTCCATTTGTGTGATCCTATATTTGCACATGATTCAGATTTGTTTGGTATAATTTATTGTAAATTAAAAATTAATAATAAAAAAAATTGATAATAAAGAGCAGAAGCCAAAAACATATATGCATTAACTTCCACATCATCACTTTTTATCACTTATTTAAACCATTTATGCTAATATATTGTAAACATGCATCAAACAGTCCAATATAAAATTGTCAAACAAAAAAATAAAAAAATTATAAATAACTCAAATAAATTACAGAAGTGGCTCAATATTAATTTATTTGTTGTGGTGCATAGGGCGGCTAATTAGACGTATATAGATTTCTTCCGTCTGTAACGATACACATACATCGTATACTACAATTATGGGAAATTATACGCAAAGGCCAAAAGCTCATACTCCTATATAAATACAACTCAACTCACTCATAGCATTTGCAACCACTTCATATTTCGCAAACAACTCCTCTGTTCTCTCTCCCCCAATGGAGTGGAGCAGAGGGCCCTCCATCGGCCGAGGCGCTTCCGCCGCCACCGTCTCCATCGCCACTTCCACCTCCGGCGAGCTCTTCGCGGTCAAGTCTGCCGAGCTCTCTAGCTCTGGCTTCTTGCAAAGAGAGCAAAATTTTCTCTCCGAATTGAGCTCCCCATACATCGTTCAATACATGGGTTTCGAAATCACATGCGAAAGCAACAAACCCATCTACAATCTCTTCATGGAATACGTTCCCGGTGGCACGGTTTCGGATGAAATTAAGAGGCAAGGAGGTTCGCTCGATGAGTCTGTGATCGGAATTTATGCGCGTCAGATCTTACTGGGCTTGGATTATCTTCACTTGAATGGGTTGGTGCATTGTGACATAAAGGGTCAGAATGTTTTGATCGGCGAAGATGGTGTCAAAATTGCAGACTTGGGTTGTGCCAGATGGGTGGCGGAGGACGGCGGAGTTGCGGCAGCGCCATTTTCCGGTACACCGGTGTTTATGGCGCCGGAGGTGGCGCGTGGTGAAAAACAGGGGTTTTCAGCTGATGTGTGGGCTCTTGGGTGTACTATAATTGAGATGGCCACTGGGTCTCACCCATGGCCGGAGGTTAACGACCCTGTGTCGGCTCTGTACAGAATTGGGTTTTCCGGTGAAGTGCCGGAGCTTCCCACCTGGTTGTCCGAGAAAGCTAAAGATTTTCTGGGAAAGTGTTTGAGAAGAGATTACAAAGAGAGATGGACAGCTAAAGAGCTTCTTCATCACCCATTTCTTGATGATCTGGAATCGAATTCTCCTAAAGTAGATGAAGAATTTACCCGGAATTCTCCAACGACTGTGTTAGATCAAGGTGTTTGGGATTCAGTGGAGGTATCGGAAGCTCACCGGAATCTGACCCACATCGGTTCATCTTCAAATTTTCCGGCAGAGAGAATCCGAAATTTGATTGGAGATAGTTCAAATTTGCCCAATTGGAGTTGGGAAGAAGATTGGATCACTGTTAGAAGCAAGGAGGACATTGAAGAAACTGTGATGATTTCAGAGCAGGACTTCAATGTCGGACCAAACGAGAGACAATTAATTGACATGGAGTCATACAATTTTGCAGCTGTTAATTTTGAAGAGTTTGGCAGCTCAATTGTTATTAATTTTGAGGCTTTGTTACCAGAAGCAGAGATCTCTGTTCACACGATTAGTGATATCTATTGCTCTAGTATTTCAATAGGTTTTGTGATGCTCTGTGAAAGTGTTAAAGATGTTATTATTGTTCCTAGAATTCTCACTTTAGAGAGAATGTTAATGAAAGTTTTGTTCGTACTCAATTTAAGTGTCGTGTTAAATCCCTTCTCTTTCTGAAAAAAGAAAATCCCTTCCCTCTCTTTCTTATCTCTCTCTTTTCTTTCTTTTCTTTTCTTTTTCTTTTTTTATTTCGAATAAAAATATCACTAACAACCCGGGTTTGGTAGCTCGAAAATCCGTGGGTCGAATGGGTCGAAAGATCAAAACGACGTCGTTTTGATCTTTGTATTTTTTTTATTTTTTTTTTCAGCAGAAGGAAGAAGACGCGAGGAGGAGGAAGGAGAAGGAGGGGAGGAAGAGAAGGAGGGAGAGGGGAGGGGAGGGGGCCAACAAACTTGGGGCTGAGGCAGGGGTGGAGGTGTGGCGGCGAGGCAGAGGCAGAGGCGGAGCTGCGGCGAGGACGGCGAGGCGACCAAGCTGTGACGAGGACGTCGGCAGAACCAGCACCCCGTCTCCCTCTCTTCTCTCCCTCTCTTCGAATTCGACCCAAATTTCGACCCACGAAATTCGAGCACCCACCCATTTTTGTATCACTAATATTACAAATAGACTTAATTACTTAGAAATTATTCATAAATTTCATCTAATAGTTTACATTTATTTTATACATAGATCTTACACTAAACAAATTCAATTTCAATCATACGTCAACATTTTGGATAAATTTAAGAACTATAAGTGAATTGGTAAAGCTTATTCTAAAAATATTGATGCAACGGTGATAACCGTCAATTGAAAAATTGCAAATGAAGTTGGGGGTTTTCTCAATGTAGTCTTTACAACCAAAATATGAGATTAGATGAATGTACTAGGATTGTGTTAAATTAATAATTTAATGACAGATTTGTAAAAAAGAAAAGATAATAAGAAAAAAATGTTAAAATTTTATTTTATTTTATTTTATTTCTATTTTCCTACAAATATCTCTTCAAATCTTTAGATTGAAAAACAAAAGTCAGTATTAAAAAGATAAAATAAATTTTTTTTATAAATATTTTTTTTGACTTTTTACGAAAAGATATTCAGAAAAATAGAGAGATGATGTAATTCAAAAAAGATAAAAATATAAAAAGTATGCTAATATAAGTTATCTCAAACAACCTCTAATTTGAAAGGGTGATGTTTGTTTGTTTGTTTGTTTTTTTTTTTTTTTTTCTTAAAAGGATGATGTTACTTAAATTTAAGAAATTAGATTTATTTTTTAAACTCAATGATGTGGTAGTCTAATTATTTATCTCATATCTTCGATAATTATTAATTAACAATCTTATTTATATAAATTGAGTTAAAAAAATATATTTCTATAATATCTTTTAATTTAAAAATATTGTTTCAAAATTTGTAACTAATAGAGTAGTTTCCGTCTTTGATTGGGTCTAGTCTTTTTCCCCCCGAAATCAAGGTTGTTGAGTCGAGAATACGGAGGTGGGTTTGGTTGATCTGTTCTGTTTTGGAGCGCCATGATATGATGAGACTTTGAACAGAGTGGAGTCATTCAACAAAGTCAACCACGCCTTTTGTGCGTTTAGACTTGTGTGTGAACATTAGAGACTTGTGAACCCTTCTCTTTCTCTCTCTCTCCCTCTCTTCATTGTTTATCTTAATTTAATAATGAAATTAATTGAGTCAACTAACCAATCACCCACCTTTTTTTCTACCAAGGCACCTAGGTTGGGTCAAACCCCCACTTGAGGTTAGGCGTGCCTGCATTGCCTAAGTCTGTTCCTCTAGGAAGGACCAAGGCAACATAGATAGATAGTAGTTAGGTAACTCCCCTATGTATCCTACGAATATTCCAAGCCTAATTGGAATGGATGGGACTTCTTAGAACATTTCCATCAGATTTAATAAATTTAAATTAAATTATAATAAAAAATTTATATTTATATCTAAATTTGTATTTTTTTTTATGTATACACACTTGATCGGACTTTTTATTTTGAAATTTAATTTTATAAAATATTCATTTTTATTGGATGGTTGACTGCGTGAATAAATAGGTGGTCGACTACTTGGTGAAAATTACCTAATTTTTACAAATATTAGGTCGTCGATCAGGTAGATGACCAAGTGGTCGACTATTTGGTGAAAATTGCTTAGTGTTTTCATTTATTGGGTGGTCAACTGAATGGATGATGAGGTGGTCAACTATTTGGTAAAATTTTCTCTAGAATAAATAATAAAATAGAGTATAACTTGTGAACAATACATCGTTACATCAAGTAATGTCAAAATTTAATTTGTTGTAACTAGTTTGATGCAAGGGTTCTTTTCAACCTTGTCTTGCTAATATAGCTCCAAAACTAATATAGCAAGCCTAATGCGGATACTCTAAGAAATCTCTAACTTGGCTTCGTCACAATTTTATTTTTTTTAAATTGGTGAGAGGACAATTATATTATTACACTTAAATCCAAATATTGCTTCACATTTTTTAGCGGTTATTACTTATAAATTTAGACATTCACAAAAGTACTTAGAATTTTTTCTCGATCAATAGTGTTGTTCAAATTTATTCAAAATGTATACTTTATCATATAAGTATTGAAGTTAGACCATACACTAATTTTATTAATAATTTTGTATGTTTTTCTTTTTCTTTATTTATTTTTCCCTTTCTAAATAGCTATAATTACTATCTTAGGCTTTCTTTAAAAATTGGCTATATAACTAATTTTTAACAAAAAATAAACTTATAAAAAAACAAGAAAAATTAGCTTGTTTGGTACTTTCTAATGCCTTTTTGAAATTACTAAAATAGACACTTTGACAAGAAACATGTTTGTCACAAAAAAAAAAAAAAAAAAAAAAAAAAATCGACTCCTAGCGTCACAGTGAAACGCAAGCCATAATACAATGAACAAAGCCTCGGTTTATTGGTCTTTTGGTCTGGAGCTGGTGAATCAAAATGATAGTGGAGCTGGAGCATGCATGAGAATGTCAACCCTCTCTCCTGTCAGCAGAACCCATTTTGTGAGAATCCTATGCATTTTGCAGTGACTATTATTTGAAACATCTCTAACATAATAATAATAATAATAATAATAATAATAATTGGTTCAAATTCACTCGCATATGCATATTTTGTGGCATATGTTCTTTCTGCTTTTCAATCTTTTTATGTAGTCATGCTTGATGCTTTGATGATGTATGTTTATTGAACTTTTCAATGTGAAAGAAGTAATTAAAGTAATTCATGTTCTGTTCTTGGTACGTCTAACTCCAACCATTAAAAAATATACTAGTATGGAAGAAAATTTCTACACGAAACATATAGCCAATAGCTATTCAGCTTCGGCAAAATGTGAAGGAAAAAAAAAGACATTAAGGGTGTGTTTGGTAACGTTTACGTTTTCAGTTTATATTTACAAAAATTTTATAAACTGATTTTTGTTTATTTTTAGAAAAACATAAACCACAAATGCATTTGGTAATTGACAAAATATTTTTAAAAAATTAAAAATATAAAAAAGAGTAAAAAATGGCAAGTGGTGGCGAAAAACGGTGGTGGAAAGTAGTGACGGCGGGTGGTGCGTAGCTGGTGGTAGGTGACAGTGGCAGGTAGATGGGTGACAGTGGCGGGTGGTGGATGGTAGCGAGTGGGTGGCGGTGGCAGGTGGGTGGCAGATTGTCACGACCCAAACCCGGCCCTATGGGTTTAGCACCGTAACCGGCCAGTAATCCGAGATTACCGAAGGCCTGCTTAACAGTAGTACAGTAAAACAGAGTACAGGGCCTGGCGGAAGCCAAAACAGTAAATAAATAGTGTCCATTGAGCTGTGACAGTCTGTATGCCAAAAAGATTTTTCATGCATTCATACATACAAACAGTACAGTCTATACAAAATTTACAGTCACACAGTACAGGGACCTAATCCCTGGTAACAGTACAGTTAGCAGCTGACAATCTATACAGTAGTCCAACAGTGTGGGGACAGACGGGGGAAAAACAAAACACCCCAAAGCCATAGCATGGCAACTCGGAACCTCGCAGTGAGGCACAAAGGCTGGCTTGACAAAAACTGTGAGTCTGACCCACGTCTCCAGCTCCGATCTGGTGGCTGAGCACCTACATATATATATAAACAGTGAGCTAAAGCCCAGTGAATAACATAATGCGTAAAGAGGTTAAGAATGAAATGTCCTTACAGTAATGAAAACAGTTCATTAATCAATACTTCAGTCTTTCAGTCAGAACAGTTATTCAGTCATATGTGGTACATCCATTAGCATAGCAGTAAACAGTAGGTCTTAAAGACCGAACAGTAATGATGGCCATCAATCAGTAAACAGTAGTGGTTCCACGAGGGAACCGACAGAGATCTCTGTAACAGTAGCAGTAACAGTGTACAACAGTTGCTAAGGATGCCACAATACATTTAAGAATTTAGGACATACATTCAAACAATAACAATAATTACTTCAGAAAACGGTTTCGTTAAACAGTCAGAAAACATTCTCAGGTGAACATATTTTACACAATTGTTACTCACAGAGTTTGGGCTACAGTATGCTAGAGCGTGTCTCCCCAGTCGCCAACCCTACACAGTTAACAGATTGAACACACATAAGCTACACAGTTGGGAAATATCATAACTTAATCCCTAATTTGCCTTGGTGTGTTCTACATCTATGTCCTCAATAAGATGTCTTAACTAGGTCTAAGAATGCCTAGAATGAGATGAGGATGCAAAGATGCACTTTTAAAAGCAGTTTCAGATTTTTCAGAAAACAGAGTCCCGCTCGAGCGTAGGTCACTCCTCGAGCGGACATGCAGACAAAGGTACACGCTCGAGCGTCAACTTCCCGCTCGAGCGTACTGTAAAAGTACTGATGGGTGAAATCTCCGCTCGACGCCCGCTCGAGCTTGAGACACGTGATTCCGCTCGAGCGTCCAATCCTCCGCTCGAGCGGACTATACAGTTGCAAGATGCTGGATGCTCGGATTCCACGCTCGAGCGGCACTCCCCCCCCGCTCGAGCGGAAGTGCAAAATCTGGAAATTCCAGATTGCACTCCAAGCCAAAAAACCAAATTCAAAAGCATCAAAACCGATCCTCTTGGGCTAATTTCTGGAAAAA